TTCTTTCTTTCTTTCTTTCTTTCTTTCTTTCTTTCTTTCTTTCTTTCTTCTTTTCACTCGAGAACCTTCTCTTCCTTTGGACGGGACTCTTTTTCTTCATAGGATCCGAAGGTTGGAAGGGTCCTCTGAGGTCTTCTAGACCAACCCCTAGCACAAAGCAGGAACCTTATACCATCCCGATCAAAAGTGGTGCTCGTGTTACGACGTGCGTCCCTCCTTCCCGCTTCCTTTGAAAAGCTCTGAAAATCTTCAAGGTCAGGAAGGTTCTTCGGCAGCTGGGCTCAACTGGACCGAAGAAGCTTTTTGGATGAGAAGCTTTCTAAGAAATGGCTAGGGAGGTTCTCAGTCCTCCAGGTCAATGGTCGCCAACCAGTGGGCCGGGGACCACTGGTGGTCCGTGAGAAAATTTCAGTGGTCCGTAGAGAAATGTTCCCCCCCCAAAGCAATTAATTCAGGCTGTGCAGGAACACAAGGCTGCGCTGACCACATGGCCCACGGGAACACAAGGCTTGTGTCGCTTGCATTGTGAACACCACGAGGTAGTGAGGAGAGGGGGGGAAGGGCGGAGTGGGGGGGAACTTGCCCCCCTCGCCCCACGTGCTTGGCCCGGCGACCGGGCTGCTTCTTTCCGCTTCTTTCTTCTTCTGCTTTTGGCTGCATGCAAGGAAAGCAGCAGAAGTCTTTCTTTCTCTCCCCCAAACTCTGCCAGACATGAGTCTTTGGGACCCTGCAAGGCCTCCTGCTCCAAGAGGCTGCGCCGGCAAGGACTCATTTCTGGCGGAGTTTGGGGGAGAGAAAGAAAGACTTCTGCGGCTTCTGCTGCTTTCCTTGCATGAAGCCAAAAGTCTCTCTCTCTCTCTCTCTCTCCCCCTGAGAACGGAGCTGGAGACGGTATCCTGAGATCCCAAATAAAGAATGATTGATCGGCAGGGAAACAGGGTGGGGGGATTTTCCTGCAGACTTTTTGGGGGGATTTTCCCAGGGTCTCTGATCCGCGGGATTTAAAATTGTGAGTTTGGTGGTCCCTGAGGTCCAAAAGGTTGGCGACTCCTGCTCCAGGTCATGGCTGTCCCAAAGGAGCTTTCTTCAAAAGGCAAGTGGACTTTCTGGTTTTCCTTGGAAGACGTTTTGCTTCTCTTCCAAGAAGCATCTTCAGAACTTCAAGGTCTACGGCAGTTCTCAGTCATCCAGGCTGCTAATCCCTGTCTTCCTAAGTCACGTTATTGGAAACCAAGGTGGTTGTGGACAATGGCAACTGGGGAAAGATTTGCTGTAAGTCCCAAAGGTGGTTTTTTTTTTCCCCCAAAAGTTAACTATATTTTCTTGGGTTTTCATCCTTTGAAAACGTTTCGCTTCTCATCCAAGAAGGTTCTTCATTTTATCCCAGAAACTTCTTCAAATGAAGAAGCTTCTCGGATGAGACACGAAATGTTTTCAACAACAACCACAAGAAAGTCCAGTTACCTTTTGGGGCAAAAAGCACCTTTGGGACAACCATGACCTGGATAGTGGAGAACCTCCATAAATATTTGCTTGCAAGTATTGATATCCTAACCAGAATTTTGCCTCCAGTTCTAGATTAAGTTTGGGTTTTCAGTTGCTCTTCCTTGGGGGTACAATTATCTCAACCTTGAGGGTCAAATGTCCCTGTTTTCCTCTCTACATTTCAGTTTTGCTTCTTTGGCCCCTTGTACGGTGGCCACGTCCTCCTTTCCACCAGTCAATTTGTGGTCCAGCTTGACCTAAAATCATGGCTTGTTGTTCCGGTAGACTATTCCGCCCTATTTGTCCTTCTTTCGCCTAATCTGGAGACGTACCAAGAAACCCAGTAAGCATCTCTGTCCCTTCCCTGCTCCAATAATTTCTTTTTAAGTTTCCCAGCAAAGGCAGAGTTTAAAGCAAACAACCCCAAAAAATGTATTTAAGAACTGCAAGGCTGTTCCTCACCAAATAAGGTAGATTGCCTGGTGGACTCCAAGCCGTTTTCTTTATATATGGGCTTGGAGAGTTTTCTGATCCTGATTTCTTGTTCCATCCACGGAGAACCTGGGTGTTTCGTTTCTTTCTCTACTTTCTTGCAAGGGGGAGCGAGTCCCATCTCTAAATTTCGCTTCTCTCCAAGGAATGTAAGAGTTTGTTTATTTATTTTTTTAAATCACCCACTCGGGGATTGTGAGAAAAACTTTGAGAAATCTAGTTTGAGGTCGATAAGGAAAAGTGTTCTGGAAAAGGGTGTTTCACCTCAAGGAGAAGGTGTTATCTCGCTTCTACGGGAATACTGTGGATAGAAGAGGGGAGAAGGCTTCACCAGAACCAGCTGTCCTACTGGGCGGAGAATGGAGGACAGAGGCAAAGCCGTTCGGTGAATTTGTGGGTCCAGATGAGTGTGTGGGTTCACCCACACGCAAGGTACGTGCTCCACCTTGCGGAAGGTTCTCAAGAAAAGATTGCACAACCATTTGTCCGGCATGGTGTAAGGCAGGGGTCTTCAAACTGGACCGCTTTAAGACTTGTGGACTTCAACTCCCAGAATTCCCCCTCCAGTCCTGTTAGCTCAGGAATTCTGGGAGTTGAAGCCCACAAGTCTTAAACTTGGCCAAGTTTGGAGGCCCTTGAGCTAGAGAGTTTGGTTGCAGGAGAAGGTGGTGGGACCTAGCCAGCAACCTGGAATTAAGGAGGAATGTCCTAACAGGGAGGACAATTCATCAGTGGAACTGCTTCCCTCCAGAAGTTATGGGTGCTGCATCACTGGAGGCTTTCAAGAAGAGGCTGGACAGCCGCTTGTCTGAAATGGTCTATAGGGTTTCTTGCCAGAGCAGGAGGTTAGACTAGAAGACCTCCAGGATCCTTTCCAGCTCTACTCTTATTCTAAGTCTGTGCTTGCATTTAGAAGCTTTGTCCTGCCCCAAATTAGAGTCTCTCTCTCTCTCTCTCTCTTCTCTCTTTCTTTCTCTCTCTCTTTCTCTCTCCCTCTCCTCTCTCTCTTTCTGTCTCTCCTCTCTCTCCCTCCCTTTCCCCTCTCTCTCTTTTTCTCTTTCACTCTTTCTCGCTCTTTTTCTCCTCTCTCTCCCTCTCTCTCCCTCTCTCTCTTCTCTCTTTCTTTCTCTCTCTCTTTCTCTCTCTCCTCTCTCCTTCCCTCTCCTCTCTCTCTCTTTCTCTATCTCTCTTTCTCCCCTCTCTCTCCCTCCCTCCTCTCTCTTTCTCTCTCTCTTTCTCTCTCTCTTTCTTGCTCTTTTCTCCTCTCTCTCCCTCTCTCCTCTCTCTCCCTCTCTCTCTTCTCTCTCTCCCCCTCCCTCTCCGCTCTCTCCGTCCCTCACCCCCTCTTTCTCTCTCTCTCTCTTTCCCTCCTCTCTCTCCCTCCTCTCTTCTCTCTCTCTCTTCTCTCTCTTCCTCCCTCTCCTCTCTCTCTCACCCTACCCCCCACCTTTCTCTCGGTGTGGAGAAGTTAATTGTTCCTTACCTCTGCAGCTAAAGCGCAGAGCCTCCACTGCAGTTGGCCATCCTGTCAACCCGCCAGCGCTCTGGCAGATGAGCTTGCCTCAAAAGCCTGAGAAGCCCTTGGTTCAACTTTGCGGTAAGACTCTTCCAACCTTCCTTGCCCCAAGGAAGGGAGCTGCAGATCCGTCCCCTGCATTCCAGTTTATTTCCAGGGATTTGGGAAAGTGTGTGTGTGGGGGGCGGGGGGGGGGACAGAAAGGGGAGAGCCAGGCAGGAAAGAGACTCCCCCCCGCCCCCCGTCTTCTTAATTTCCCCCCACTGCACGGAAGGCAGCTGGTAAAGATTGCTGCACAAGATGTGAAATTGGATTTGCGTGTTTGCATGTGTGTGTGTGTCAGAAGAGAGAGAGAGCAGAAGGGAATCTGGAAAAGGCTGACGGAGGAAGGGGGAGTAGGGAGGCATGTCCTTTGCATGGCCCATCCAGATGGTCTTTTTTGGGTGTGTGCGTGTGTGTGTGTGTGTCTAATCACTCTCGGAATATATTTTTGGCTTTCGTTCTGCTGCATGGCTTGGAAGGGAAGCCAACACAGAGAGCTGAAATAGGGAAACATCTTTATCCTCGGCTACGGAATTATGATGATGGATAAGTAGTGGTTCCCTCCTTTTCCCTCGCCTGCCATCCCAAACTTTTATTATTATTATTATTCCAAATGCATATTTCCTAAAGTTTTTTTTTTTAAAAAACACACACCTGCATTTCACTGAAATGCTGCCATTTCCAAGAGGTCACACAAGGGGACAGATTAGCTGGGGGAGGGAAATTATATATATATATCTATATCTGTATATATCTATATATCTATATCTATATCTATCTATCTATCTATCTGTCTGTCTGTCTGTCTGTCTGTCTGTGTGTGTGTGTGTGTTTGTGTTTTCTTAAGTTTTCGCAGGTACTTACATGTATGGTATTCAGCTTTGTTCGGGTATTTTCCCACGTCATTATAGGTGTGCTTTTAAAGTTGTAGCTACAACTTTAAAAGCCCAACTATAATGACGTGGAAAAATACCCAAACAAAGCTGAATACCATATGTGTGTGTGTGTGTGTATGTATATGTATGTATGTATAAGTCCTCAAATGCTTTTTGTTGAAATTGGCATGAATTTACTGCAAAAAGGGGGGTGACATGAGGTGAAGCAGCCATCCTGCAAAAGGACCCCTAGTGCCTCCCCAGATCTTCTCCCTGGAATTGTGGTTGTTGTTTTTTTTGTTTATTGTTTTTCATTTACTTTTAATTAAATTCAAGATTTTCTCATTTCATCATCCTGGTATTTCCCACCAGAGTTGACTTGTATGGATTCTTCTACAATGAAAAGAGTTTAATAATAATAACAATAACAACAACAACAATAATAATAAACTAATAATAATAATAATAATAATAATAATAATAATAATAATAATGATAATAATAATATAGGGAGTCTTTGGTGTACGACCACAATGGAGGCCAACATTTCTGGCATTTGTTAAGTGAGTTTCGTGCCCCTTGGTGCCACCGTCCTTGCCCCAACTGTCAAGGGAATCACTGGAGTCGTCGAATTAGTGAACACCATGATGTTACTGGGATAGGGTTAGGGAGAACGGAGCTGGAAAGCAGGTTAGTGGGGTGGGAATGGGGATTTTGCAATAACCTTCCCCTGCCACGCCTACCAAGCCAAGCCACGCCCACAAAACTGGTAGTACAATTTATTGAATCCCGCCCCTGTCCTGGAGGGCCTCTTTTCGCCCTTCCTGAGCCTCTGCGCAGGCCCTGCACTCACCTGAATCACAAACAGGCCACCTGGGGACTCCTGGGAGGGGCAGGGTGGGCGGGGCCAGCCAGGAGTGGGATTTGGGGGTTCTCAAGCAGCCCACCCCTGGATAGAACTCTCTCTTAGATGGTGCAGATGGTTCGATGCAGGGGTGGGATTCAATTTTTTTAACAACCGGTTCTGTGGGTGTGGCTTAGTTGGTGGGCGTGGCTTGGTGGTCATGTGACTGGGTGGGCGTGGCTTGGTGGTCGTGTTATTGGCTGGGCATGGCCAACTCAACATCACTCACATCGAGGCACGCATCTCCTCGCCTGGCCTCTCATGACTGTGGGGATGCTGCAACAGTCGTAAGTGTGAAAAAGGGTCATAAGTCACTTTTTTCAGTGCTGTTGTAACTTTCAAGGGTCACTCCATACAAGCAAAGTACCAGCAAAGGAGGGAAAATAACTCCAGAGACGTTCCAGAGACAGGAAGTCTAGTCCTGCCAAGAATGTAATAAGGGTTAACAGAGAGGCAGTTTCCGTAAGCAACACCAGAATGTTTCCTTCCTGCCTTCCTTACAGGATTAGCCCAGCAATTTCTTCTAACAACCGGTTCTCCGAACTGCTTAGAATGTTAACAACCGGTTCTAGTGAATAGGTGCGAAGTGGGAGAATCCCACCCCTCGTTAGATGGGTCTTACTGCCCACCTTCTTCTCCTTCAACCCCCCCAGGAATTAACGCCCAGGCTCGGAAGCTCCAGCGCAACCGGACCAAAGGCACCATGACTCCCTTGATGGCTTGCCACACTTCACCCCCCAGCCTTAGGCGCACTGTCAGCGAGACCAGTCTTAGCCAAGCAGGCCCACTGGAGGAGCAGAAAGAAGAGGGGCCTCTTCAGCGGCACTACTCAACGCTGCCAGAGACCCTCCGATGCATGGAGTGGGTACCGGATGGGCGGGCGGTGGCTGCCCCCGAAGAGCCGAACGGGGGCAACACCTTGAGACTCTCGCTCTATCAGTCCCCTCACCTGCTGCTCCTACAGGGATACAGCCAGCAACACGTAAGTGTCCCCTCTCCCCCCCCCGAGGCAGCCTTCTTCAAGTTGTCCCTCTGCTAGATGCCTTGGATCGCACCTCCCATTATCCCCAGCCAGTTGTGTTGGAAAGCCACGGCCATGATTCGTGGTAGGGTATAGGATGCTCCCCTGATTCTGGAGTTCCCTAGACCGCAACAATAATTCCATAGCCAGGTTTTCTTCCAGAAGAGTAGAACTACAACTCCCAGTCTCCCAGCCTGGTTCCTTCCCCATCCTACTATTCTCTAGAAATCAAGGGTCTTTCAACTTGGCCAAGTTTAAGACTTGTGGGCTTCAACTCCCAGAATTCCTGAGCTAACATGACTGGAGGAGGAATTCTGGGAGTTGAAGTCCACAAATCTTAAAGTTGCCAAGGTTGGAGATCCCTGATCTAGAGGAGGCCTGAAGAAGACATGCTGGCTAAATTCTACCACCTTCTCCTGCAACCCATCTCTCTAGCTCAAGGGCCTTCAAACTTGGCCAAGTTTAAGACTTGTGGGCTTCAACTCCCAGAATTCCCGAGTTAATATGACTGGAGGAAGAATTCTGGGAGTTGAAGTCCACAAATCTTAAAGTTGCCAAGTTTGGAGACCCTGATCTAGATCCATAACTTTGCCACTCTTCTCAGTCGCCTCCTTTCTTGGCCAGCATCTCCTCCCACCCAACCCATTGAGTTGTCCACCATCTCAGCATGTGAATCCTCCATTTGTATGGAGACAGGAATGTCGAAGTAGCTTTTGGGAGCCCTCTTGTTAGGATGTGAAAGAGAAGTCCCCCAAATTTGGCACGAGGGTCCGCCCCGCCCAGTCAGAACAGGTTGGCCCCAAGCTCGCCTCCTTTCTACCTGCTTGTGTGTTGGACTCCGTAGGACAGGCTGGTCTACCTCTTGAACCGCGAGCAACACACGGTTGGCCAAAGGACTCAAGCCAGCAAGCCTAGCATTAGCCTTTCGGCGCCCGACATCCTTCCTCTCCACTGCTCCATCCGGCGGGTGAAGCTGCCCACCCGTTCTCACCACCGCTCCGAAGAGAAGCTCTTCATAGAACCCATCCCGGGCGCCAGCGTCTCCGTCAACTTCTCCGAGGTGGGCAAGGCGGTGGTCCTCCGTCACGGCGATCTCATCTCCCTCGGCCTCTCCTACCTGTTCCTCTACAAGGACCCTCTTAAAACCCAACTGCTGCCCACCCAGACGCTGGTGAAGCTGAAGGCCATGCGCCGGGCATCTGAGCCCGAGCCGCCGCCCACCGCCTGCAAGATGTGTGGCACCCATTTCAAAGACAAGGCCTCCTCCTCCTCCTCCTCCTCTTCCAAAAAACAGGAAGTCCAGGCCTCCTCCGGCCGGAAGAGCAGTCGGAGGAAGCTGCAACTGGAATTTGACAAGGCCAACGAAGATGTCTTGCTGAGGAGGATCATGACACTCATCGAGCCCACGGGAGACGACCACAAGTTGGCGCCGGCCTTTTTACTGTGTCTCTGCATCCAGCACTCTGCCACCCATTTTAGGCTGGGAGACTTTGGGAAGCTGCTCCTCAAGGCGACGAAAATGGTTCAGAAGAGCGTGTGGGTCAGTAGGCTTGCGGTAAAAGGAGGAAATGGGAGGATTGGTAGGAGTAGCCGTTTGGGCTTTGGTGGTGGGACACCTTTTAGTCCATGTCCACCTTTAGTTCAGTCTGTTTGCACTCCCTCTCTCATCGGAGGGGTCGTTGTGGCTCTCTGGGCTTCGCGGTTTTCTTACAGATGTTTCATGACCCAACTAGGGAACATCATCAGTGGTAGAATGGAGAGGGGTTTACGGAGTGGAGATGGAGGAGGAGGAGGAAGAAGAAGAGGAGAGAAGGAGAAGGACTATGGGTCCTTGGTGGTCTCTGAGCTTGATGGTTTTCTTGCAAAACTTTCATAACCCAACTAGATAACATCATCAGGGCTAGAAGGGAGAGGGGTTTGTAGAGTGGAGGTGGTGATGGAGGAAGAGGAGGAGGAGGAGCGGGGGGGAAGCAGGAGGACAAGGAGAAGGAGAAGGACTATGGGGTCCTTGGTGCTCTCTGAGCATAGTTGTTTTCTTGCAGACGTTGCATTACCCAACTAGGTAACATCATCAGTGCTGGAAGGGGGTGGGATTTGTGGAGAGCAAGAGGAAGGGGGTCAAGAGGAGGAAGACGAGGACCGTGGGGTCCTTGGGGGGTCTCTGAGCTTGGTGGTTTTCTTGCAGCCGTTTCATGACCCAACTAGGGAACATCATCAGTGCTAGGAGGGGGTTGGGTTTGCTCTGTTTATACAGAAATGGCTTGCTCAGTCAGCGTTGACGGGAGTCTTCTTGGTGGCTCTTTGATTAAGCTGTTATTTAAGATGTTGTCAGATGTTGCCCAGATGGGTAATTCAACGTCTTCAGAAAACCACCAAGCTCAGAGAGCACCAAGGATCTTTCATTTCAATCCTGGCCTACAAGGATTCTGGACCAGGATCCTAGAACCACAAATAGATGCTTGAACTGATGAGTCTTTGATGCTCTCTGGCCTCCGTTGTTTTCTTGTAGACGTTTCATTACCCAAACTAGCTCAATGCTGCCTGATGATGTTCCCTAGTTGGGTCATGCAGGAAAATAAGCTCCGACAGGACCAATGACCCCTCATTTCAACCCTGAGCTACGAAGACTCCCTTCTGTTTGTACCCCTCTGGTTTTCTTGGTTCCTTTCCCCTCTTCTCCATGTCAAAATTTGCATGGTATCTGAATGCCTTTCCTTTCCCAGAAAAGGCAAATTACACAGATGACACTAAAGTTCTCATTTTTGTCCTCATTCCACAGCAAGACTTGACGGTGGGCGTTCTGTTCTCAAAATATGCACTGTTTATCCGTTTTGCTATTTTTCAAAAAGCTGCTGAATGCAAAGTTTGCGGTTGGCACAATGGCTTTGAATCCAAAATGGTGGGTTTTTTTTTTTTTGAGATCAAAATATGTTGAGGGCGATCAGAGCAGCCTCTCTGGAATGCCAAACGCTCATTTCAAACTTTGAAGCATTTTGGATTTCCAAACTGTTTTGAGATTGAAAAGCTTTGCAGGGCCCTCCCGTGCCATCGACGTTAAAAGAAGCACAGGCACTGAATGAAATCTACATTTTTGATGGCCACGCTCATTGAGATAATGTGAATTGGCTCGGTCTGTGTAAAAATGTAGACGAAATCCTTGGTTATCCTCCTAATTGCCACCAGAAATGGAATGTGTGGTCAAGGAGCTAGAAATCTTGAAAAGAACATGAATTCTTGCACAAAAACGGTGCTGTTTTGGTTATCCATGCAGTGCAGAATCTGGAAATCACAAGGTAGTTTTGTCCACGTCTGTTTTCCTTTAGATCACTGGCATGTATTTTGATTTTTTTTGTTTTGTTTTGTTTTAATTTGTTTCGATGTGTTTTCTGCTTCTAGGAGAAAACAAACGAGCTTGCGGAAAAGCAATCTTTACAGTAAGTTTCCTGTATTCATATTTCTTTCAAGAATAGTTCCTCTCTCACGCAAGGGTTAAAGGCTGAGATCTCTTCAGAACCCGAGTCAAGGAAAATCCTTCCACCCAAAAAATACTTTGTTGGTGTTGGGACAAAACAGGGCCTTCTTCTGTGGTAGCACCAGAATTTGGTAATTCCTTTTAAAGTGAGGCTAGACCTGATGACTGTCTACAGAGTTTTGATTTTACTTGGCTTTTATTATTGGGTTTATTATTACTCAGTGATCTTTTCCTGAGGTTAACCTAAATTATTTTTTTTATTTATTTCATCAGAGTTTTACCTGGTCTTTATAATAACTCAAGGTAGTGAGTGTACCTTTCCTCAAACTCTTATTTTCCTCCAAACCACAATCCTGTGAGGTATGTTGGGTTTAGAGAGAAACCTAAAGTCACCCAGCCAGTTTGCATGTCTAAGGTGGGATTAGAACTCACCGTCTCCTGGTTATTAGCTTAAAATCACTCAGTTAGCTTTCATGCCTAAGGTAGAACTAGAACTCTCCGTCTCCTTGTGATTGGCCCAAAGTCATCCAACCACTTTTTGTGCCTTAAGGCAGAACTACAACTCACCGTCTCCTGGTGATTAGCTCAAAGTCACTCAGTTAGCTTTCATTCCTAAGGCAGAACTAGAACTCGCCGTCTCCTGGTGATTGGCCCAAAGTCACCCAACCGGTTTTCGTGCCTTAAGGCAGAACTAGAACTCACCACCTCCTAGTGGTGCCTTAGCCATTAGAATGTATTCTAGTAATCCTAGAGAGGTCGTCATGTGTTACAATTTTGACAGAAGTGTTATTGATTAAAAAACCCAGCCGTTCTTGTTGCAGAATTTGCACTCCCTGGGAGCAAAATGTAAGTTGCGTAGGTTTTGTTGCTCACAAAGATGACCCACAAAAGAGATGGTGATATATTTCAGCAAATTGCAACGGCTGTCAGTCTGTTTTCCTTGAACACATGACTCCTTTATCTTGTTTGAGTAGCAGGCGCTCACATACCAGATTAGCAAACCTCTTTATCTCTCCCACGCCCCCATGCAAGAATTTGATAGCAGGACCTCAAAATATCTTCCATAAAGATCAAACGGCTTCGAAGAGACTCTCTGCACGCCGAAAGGGTTGAGTTACGATGGCAACATTTGAAGAAAAGAGAAAAAAAAAAACTAAGTGGGGTAAAAACAACACGAAAATGTAAATCCGGAGTTTTCAGTTCCTTTAATGGAAGCAATCTTACCGGAGAAAGTGAAGGGCGGGAGTGAAAGGCTCTCATTTTGGCAGATCTCACTGTGTGGAGAAATAAGCCCATTTTTATATGCCACAATTTTCAAGCCTCTCTGGGGTGGCATTGGGAAAAAAAACCCTCAATAATCTGATAGAGGAGGAAAAAATGGATGGAACACAGCAGGCGTGAGAAAAGGAGGCATGCTTTAAAATGAGATGACTCTGAGCCAGCAAAAAAATAAAAATAAAACAAAATATTAGTGCCATGTAGGGCTAAGCAAAGGGGAATATTTTTGCCAGGAAGACCCGTGTTTCTACTCGAAGCTTTGAAATTCATTAGTGCAATTTACGGTGTTGTTTGAGTAGAGATTATACAATCTGTGTCCCCATTGGATCAATGTTTTAGAGATATTTCCTTACCTAAATAGAAAGACCAAAAATGGATAAGAAAGGAGTGAAGGAGGAGAAATTTCTGCCTTCCCTACTGAATTTCCTTGTGGGGATCGAGCAGGAAGCATCAGAATCCTTCCTTCCTCCCTCATTTCCTTCCTATGAAGTGAGGGATTGCTAGACTGGCTGGAAAACTGTCACGAAATATTCCCCACCTTTGCTGGATTGCAGACTGGTAGTCCACGCTTTCAGATTGAGACTTCTTCATCCTGGCTCCATTGGGGGCAGGTGAGCTGGTCCGGCAGGCTACGTGACAGCACAGATCTTACTACATCTGGATCAGCCTTTGTTCCTGCAAGATCCACAAATAGATTTGCTGCTTTTCATGGGAAGCCAAGATGGTCATTCCATTAATCTGAAGACTGAATGCATTTCCAGCAGGTTTTTGTCCTTGGCTTCAGAGAGGCACAAAAGCCACAACCCTACTGGGGATTGAAATAGGGAGAGGAGAGGCAATTCTCACCCTTCCCAACCTACAGTCTTCCAGATGTGCTAGGAACACAGCCCTCAAAATAGAACTACGTGAGAAGCCTGGGAGCTGTTCTCTTAGCACATCTGGAAGGCGGGTCTGGGAAAAGCTCCCCTAGCCACCTTAAGGCTTCCTTTTAATTCTTGGTCTGTTTTGTCAGCCAGGATCCAGTGTCGCTTTCCCGCTTTACCATCTCAGACCTTCTCCCCGACCTTCAGCACATCGTTTTCTGGATGTCCAACTCCATCGAAATCCTGTACTTCATTCAGCAGAAGTCCCCCGTGTACATCCAGAACATGGAAGAAGAACTGGACATCAAAGGTAAGTGGGTGGGATGTCCGTTCCGAGAGTTGAGATGTCGATAAGAGCTTCCTTGAAATGTTCGGGCGCAAGTAGAAGTTGACTTTCACCCAGTGCCATTTCTCAGGGTTGGGGGAAGCTGATGGCACTTCAAATATTCCTGAACTCCATCTCCTTGGCCATCAAGGACCATGGTGAGTGATATTGGAGATGTTTTTCTTGGTTTTGTTAATTGCAACCCACCTGGAGATCTATTGTGATTAAACAGAGCCGGCATTTTTTTTTAGTTTACTTTATTGTCATTGCACCTCGTACAACGAAAACAAACACCATCTTCAGTGCACGTCATGACCGTGAAAATAAACACACATCCTACACATTCTGTGCAATTAAATTGAAAACCCCTGATAGCACATTCATATGGCACTATAAAGTAGAATTCAATAGAGTTCCTGCCCCTGGGATAGAAGCTGTTTTTCAGACTCTTTGTCCTTGTTTTTATTATTGTCCTGTACCGTCTGCCAGATGGTAATAGTTAAAAAAAAGGGGTGCCCAGGATGAGATGGATCTTTGAGAATGTTTTGAACTTTCTTAAGGCAGCGGGAGCTACGAAGCTCTTCCAAAGTGGGGAGAGGGCAACCCATGATCTTCTGGGCAATGACCTTAACCCTCTGGAGTGCTGTCCTATCTGCCACTGTGCAGTTGGCAAACCCTACACAGGTGCAGTGAGTTAAGATACTCTCTATGGTGCAGCAGTAGTAGAAGGTCACCAGCAGTTTTTCCGTTGTTGTCTTCTGAGAAGTCTCAGGTGGTATCTTCTCTGCTGGGCCCTTTTGACCAGGGCTGTAATGTGATTCCCCCCAGGTCAGAATGGGCAAAATGATTGAGGAAATCACTCTCTTTGTGTCCAAGCAACAATTTTATGTGGGCCACCAGCTGGATCACGAAAGGTTCTACAAGACAAACCACCCATGCATCTTTTTCTCCTTTGCGGATGTCCAGCCAAAGAGAAAATCCCTCCTCCGTTGAACAGAACTATTTCCCAGGGCAAGGGAAGCTTGAGTTGGATGAAAACTGGCCAATTCCTCAGCTGGTTGACCTTGTGTAATCTTTGCTGCTTCTCCTTCTCCCCCTCCTCCTTGTCTAGCTTCACCCCAAAGGGAAAAGAGAGAGAGAGAGAGAGAGAGAGAGAGAGAGAGAGAGAGAGAGAGAGAGAGAGAGCAAACAAACCATGTTCTGGACGCCTTCCATGTTTTTCGTCCTATCTCAGTTCCCAGGCTGATAGCACAGCGAAGAAGGTCAAGAATGAAATGCCACTGAAAGTTCAGCTCCGATCCAGTGGATTCAATCCAATCCCTATTCCCCTCCCCCGCCCCCCCGCAAAAAAAAAAAAGTAGAAAGCTAGCATGTCAGGAGGAAGAAAGCTTCTAAAAGTGAGTTTCCGAGTTGAGCTGGACCGATCCAGAAAGCCGATGCTGTCTGAAATCTCCACATCTGGAATGTGTCTCTTTTTCTTTTTCAGGATCCAAAGAATCCCTCTTCTCTTTGACCATCACAGCCAGTGAGGAAGCCATGACGGTTTTGGAGGAAGTGGTCATGTACACTTTTCAACAATGTGTTTACTACATCTCCAAGGTACATCAACCCGAACTGGCTCCAGGGAAAAAAACGGGGATTTTCCCTGAGGGCCTTCACTGAATCCTCCTTCCCAGCTGAATAGGTAGCTAAAACAGGAAGGGGAGGAGAAACCAGATCCATGTTTGAGACTACTTTCTCCCTGCAAGTAAGTGTGTGTGTGTGTGCGTGTGTAAGTGCCTGTCAGCTAGAGCAGTGGTCGCCAACCGGTGGGCCCAGGACAACTGGTGGTCCATGAGAAAATTTTGGTGGCCCATGAGAAAATTTTGTTGGGCTGCAGAGAAATGTCCCCCCCCCCCCACTCAAAGCAGTTAATCCAGGATGTGCGGAAACACAAGGCTGCGCTTCCCACATGGCCCGTGGTAACACAAGGCTTGAATCGCTTGCATTGTGAACAGCACGAGGTAATGAGGGGAGGGGGGGAAAGGGCGGAGGGGGGGAAACTTGCCCCACTCACCCCACACGCCTGGTCTGGCCACCGGGCTGCTTCTTTCCGCTTCTTTCTTCTTCTGTTTTTGGCTGCATGCAAGGAAAGTAGCCAAAATCTTTCTTTCTCTCCCCCAAACTCTGCCAGAAATGAGTCTTTGGGACCCTGCAAGGCCTCCTGCTCCAAGAGGCTGTGCCGGCAAAGACTCATTTCTGGCGGAGTTTGGGGGAGAGAAAGAAAGACTTCTGCTGCTTCTGCTGCTTTCCTTGCATGAAGCCAAAAGTCTCTCTCTCTCTCTCTCTCTCTCTCTCTCTCTCTCTCTTTTAGCAATGGGTCCTCTGCCTGGTTGCTGGGTGGGCGTGTCTACGAGGGACGTGTTCACGTCGGCCTCCTGCACCACAGTGGGGAGGGGGGCATTTTTGTCTTCCCCAGGCTCCGGAGGCTTTTCTCAAGCTTCTAGGAGGGCAAAAACGGGCTCCCCGGGCTCCAGAGGCTCTCTGGAAGCTGGAAATGGACCCTTTCCAGCCTTCCCAAACTCACAGGAGGCCCATTTTCCGCCCTCCCCGAGCCTCCGCATGCACCCTGCACTTACCTGCATCCAAAACGGGCCACGTGGGGGCTCCTGGGAGGGGAGGGGTGGTGTGGGCAGGACCAGCCCAGACTGGGATTTGGTGGGTTCCCCAAACGGCACAGAATCTTAGCTAGGGCGGTCTCCTGAACCCCCGGCAGCCTACCCCTGGATGGGACCCTTGCACTCTCCTTTCATGAATGGTTGAAAGGGGCAAAGATCTCCTTGCCAACTTCCTGGTTCCTCGTCGGTCCAGGAGTGGGGGGGGGAGAGCCCACACTGGAGAACAGAGCTGTTGGGACTTATTGGATCCCAACGAGGAAAGGAGGGAGGGAGGAAGACCAAGGGACTCGGTGAGAGGAGGAACATCTGGGCAGCTTTCCAAGTTGGGGGAGGTTCCTGTCTCACTCCACGCCAGGAGTCAATCCCTGAAATGGCCGAAGAGTTCCTTCTCCGGGGGGGGGAGGGGGGGAAGGACGTCACTCTGTCCTTCAGACAGAAAGCCTCCTTTCTTCCCTCTTGCACACAGTCTGCTCTGTTTGGGGGGTTTCTTCCTCCCCCTCTTCTGAGATTCCTTCCGCTGCTGGCGGGGAGGGGAGGAGCAGATTTGAGAGCATATTCTGCGGTGCAGGAAGAGCCTCCTACCCGATTTTTTTTTTTTGGCCGCATAGTAGAAATGCAAGAGAGAGAGAGAGAGAGAGAGAGAGAGAGAGAGAGGGGACGGAGAAAGGCGCCTCTCCGAGGAATTTGCAATCCAGATGTTAGATGGGGCAGAGGGAGAGAGAGAGAGAGAGAGAGAGAGAGAGAGGGGACGGAGAAAGGCGCCTCTCCGAGGAATTTGCAATCCAGATGTTAGATGGGGCAGAGGGAGAGAGAGAGAGAGAGAGCAGAAGAGAGAAGCCGATCGCTGCGTTAAAACAACAACAACCCTTAAATGTATTTTTTCTCCTTGCGGAAAACAAATAAGATCAGGAGATGGGTGGCGGTGGCCTTGAGTCTAAACTAAGACCCAGATGGGAAGCTAAGCTGCTGCCTACCTGGAGCACAAGAAGGGCATCTCCTCGGGGTCCACCTTTGCATCTACTTGAGCTCCGCTGTCAATCAGAATAGAGATGGAAGCAGGGGTGGGATTCTACCAGTTTGCACCGATTTGCTAGAACCGGTTGTTAACATTCTAAGCAGTTCGGAGAACCGGTTGTTAGAAGAAATTACTGGGCTAATCCTGTAAGGAAGGCAGGAAGGAAACATTCTGGTGTTGCTTACAGAAACTGCCTCTCCATTAATCCTTGTTACATTCTTGGCAGGACTAGACTTCGTGTCTGTGGAACTTCTCTGGAGTTTTTTTTCCCCTCCTTTGCTGGTACTTTGCTTGTGTGGAGGGACCATTCAAAGTTACAATGGCACTGAAAAAAGTGACTTATGACCGTTTTTCACACTTACGACTGTTGCAGCACCCTCACAGTCACGAGAGGCCAGGCGAGGAGATGCGTGCCTTGATGGGAGTGGTGTTGAGCTGGCCACGACCAGCCAGTCACATGACCACCAAGCCACACCCACCACCTAAGCCATGTCCACAGAACTGGTTGTTAAAATTTTTTAATCCCACCCCTGGATGGAAGGGATCTTGGAGGTCCTCTAACCCAGCCCACTGCTCAAGAAGGAGACCCTCTACCATTTCAGACAAGTGACTGTCCACTTTCTTCTTCCTCTCTGTCCCTCTTCCACAGTCTCTCTATGTGGCTCTGCCCCCATTGCTGGAGTGCAACCCCTTCCAGGGTGAAGGCCGGGACGGTTGGCTCTCCCCGCCCCCGTTGCCCGAGGAAATCCACAAAGTGGTGTTGATTTACCAAGCTGCCCTGGACCTTCTCCATCAGTATGATGTCCACCCTGAAGTCACCTCCCAGATGTTCGCCTACCTCTTCTTCTTCTCCAACACCCTCCTCTTCAACCAGCTCATGGAAAAAGGTGTGTGGCTTTCCACCAAGGCAGTTGGTTCATCCTGGCTTGGGTAACTCATAAAACCATGGGGCACTGCCTGTTTCCCAATGACCTGCAGTGAAAGATCTCCTTTTCCTTCTATGAAGCTTGAAGGACTCTAGAAATACATCAGCCGGATGTGGATGATCCTGTTCTTCCTCTCTCATGTCCAGGTTCTTCTCTGGGCTGTTTCCACTGGTCAAAGGGGGTCAGGATACGGGCTACCCTGCGTGTCCTTCTGGAATGGGCCCAGAGCGTGGGCCTGGGGCCACTGGCAGACCAGTTCTTCTGCAAACTCTCCAGTATGGCCAGCCTGTTAGCCATGCCAAATTCTCAGCTGCTGCAGGTGAGTCTGTAGAAGGCACCAGAGTGAGTTTTGCGCGCTATGCTGAGCTGATTCATTCTTACTGCATCAGCCACATCTGGTAAGTTTCAATGCTGTTTCGGCTCTTAAATCCAAAGACCTTAACATGACCTTGAAGGCATGGATCAGCTCGTGACCAGGAATGGCTAGCTGCTGAAGATAGTAGATGGCCACCATAGATATCCAGAAGTTCTAGAAAGAGGAAGGTTTGGCATGCTACTCTTCCCAGCCCAGCTTGTTTGACATAAGGGTAGCATAGACTTCTGGCACTCTTCCATTGAGGCCATCCGGAATTCATCGATTGGTCAAGATGGGTCATGGCTAGAACTTCAGGTGCTGTTGTGCAACGCATAACCAAAGAGACCCAAAGGAGACACTGTGTCCTGGCATTTCTGGGACCTGAGATATCTCCTCCAGCTCACTTTCCATTTTGAACTCAAGGAAGCTCTGCCACAATCAAAAATTTCCTGAACTGATTTTTCAACAATGCACAACCATGTTTGAGGCTCAGATTTGGGTTCTCCATGCACAGTTCAATTTAGGTAGAAATGTGGAAATTGGGAGAATAAAGTTCAAACTATCATCCTTACAGGACTATTTTTGCATATATTTTTTTTGAGTCTATGTTTTATTCACGCCAAAGTATTTTTAAAGATTTTTCGATCCATGCATTTGTTGTGGTCAGAAACAGGGCTTTCTAGGAAGTTTTCCCCAAACCTGCATGTTAGCCTTAAGATCAGCCCAAACTGACACAACTTAGAAGCAGAGTTTTTAAAAAAGAGAGCTTACTTGAGTCTTCCTTTGCTCAGATGACCTGGCCTGTCTTGAGAAGTGAGTTTCCTGCCTTGAACCCAGCACAGCTCAATCACATCCTGACCCAGTACCAGACTTCTTCTGCCATGGGGTGTGTCCCAGCTTGGCAACCCAGCAACAATGATGCCCTTGCAGCTGTGAGGACAGGTGAGGCACCTGATGTTATGCAGTTGACCTGGAAAACCTCAGGGTGGAACAAAGGTGCTTTTTCAAGAGGCAACTGGACTTCCTGGTTTTCCTTTGAAGACATGTCGCTTCTCATCCAAGAGGCTTCTCTGCTGAGGAAGCTTCTTGAATGAAAAGTGAAACATCTTCAAAGAAAAACCAGAAAGTCCAGTTGCCCCTTGAAAAAGCACCTTTGAGACAACCATGACCTGAATCTTCATAGACACTCAAGCTGTGGAGAAGCTTCCGCAGAAGGTCCATTCAGGTGTTCTTCCACCACCTGGAGGTTACCAAGAGAAGTTGATGTTTTGGTTTGCAAAATGACATGGTTGTTCCTGGAGATCAGCCACAGTCCCCTTCCTCTGCAGCCCTTGAATGGGGACAGGGGTTGAAACAGCTGGATCTTGGGGGCCAAAGGGGTTCCACTCAGCCTGGCAGATGTTTATAGATCTCAAACTTCCCTCCCTCCCAGATTGAGTCTTTGGCATTGCCCACTTTTGGACCTGACACGCAAAACTGGGTGGGCTGTTGACTTGAGGGACGTCGTACCCCTCGTAATCTAGGAAGAATGTGGATTCAAGCACAGATTGAAACCAAATGGTTGGATGGGTTGTGTGTGTTTCTTGCAGATGATGTTCTGGAATCTTTTGATAACCACCCACCCATCATGCTGCCCACCGGAGGGTTCAAGGTGGACCTGGAGACCAATCATCTTGATGACAACATCTACCGGCATCTTCTGTACATCCGCCATTTCCTGTGGAGCCTACGCAGCAAAAGTCCCCACTCCAGTGACTCTCTGGAAGCAGAAACGCCAAAGGTAACCCCACCTTTTAAAGGTTTGCGTGCCTCACTAGGGTGTCAGTTTTATATCAAAGTGTAGTTTGCTTTGAGTTAAGCTGGGTTGAAGGATAATGTGGGACATTGGTAGAAATGTCCTAACGTGGGATGAAAACGTAACGTTATCTTTTCAAAGGGGAAGAATAATTTTTTGGGTGGGGTGGAATATGGTCTGGATTCCCAGGAGGGAAGGACGATGTTCCAGAGGGATAAGAGACAGTGGAGTTTGGTTGGGAGGAAGAGAATTTAGGCAGCTCCTCCTTAGAGGTTCTCAGAGTATACTCTTTATCGATGCAAACCCTTGCTTTAGTTTGGCAAGTTTCTGTCTATAGGCGAGGAACCATAAAGGGAACTGCTCAGAAGAACCTCAATGTGTTGTTCTTGGTTTTTGGAACCTGATATTTTTCTCCTACTTTCTTCTTAAAGACTGAGATGATCAGCTGCCAAGTGACACCCCCAGCGGAGTCTGAGACAATAATTGGGTCAGTTGAGAGTGCCTTTGACTGGACAAATGGTAGGCAGATGACGACCTGTGAGAAGCCAAAGATGGAGGAGAACGTCTCCCAGGTCATTGGTACCAACCTATCCATCTCAGATTACGGGACTTGTGAGACACAGCTACCCAACACTCTCCAACAGCAACAACTTGAGAGACCAAAGGGAAAGAATGGGACCAAGGCAATCACAGTGTCTATGGACTCCTCGTGTTTGCTGACTCCACCTAACACACCCCTGATCTTTGACTCCATTGGTCTGGAATTGTCCCCAGAAATTACTCCTGGGAAGGACATCCCGGAGTCTCACAGAAACGGACTCAACGGGACCAAAACCCCAACCCAGGAAGGTATGAAGGATTGTTAACCAGGATTGGATGGCCAATGGTTTGACCTTCAGGATGTGGAAACAGTTGAAAGGAAACCAATAAAGGAGACTAGCTGTAGCTCAGGGTTGAACTGTGGGGTCCTTGGTGCTCTCTGAGCTTGGTGATTTTCTTGCAGACGTTTCATGATCCAGCTAAGTAATATTATCAGTGCTAGAAGGGAGGGCAGCTTACAGAGAGGAGGAGGAGGAGGAGGGAGGGGAGGGCTGTGGGGTCCTTGGTAGCTCTCTGAACTTGGCTGTTTTCTTGCAGACGTTTCATGACCCAACTAGATAACATCCTCAGATGTTGGATAATGCAGGAAAACAACGAGCAGTTATAACGCTTTTCCAGCAATGTGACAAGTCGTTATGCTTTGAGGGAGCAAGCAAATGTGGTTTAATTTAGGCATGCTTTTTCCAAACCTCTGACATTATTATAGTGGGGATAATTACCTGCTGCTTGCTTTTATAAAAATTGCCGGGCGAATGTTTCTTTAGTGCTTTGGGCCCTTTTAAGCGGGGGTGGGGGCTTTGTACACTGTATCCCACTGTGCTAATTTGCGCTTGAAGCAGCCAGATCCATCTTAGTAGGGAAAAAAGGGGATAGAAATGTTACAAAGAAATGCAAGAATAGAACACAATCCTCTCTGACTCTGTGGGGTTGTTGGAGCAAATCTCAAAATTCCCAGCGATTAATGCAGGTTAGAAATCCAGCTAGATAGGACAGCACTCCAGAGGGTTAAGGTCATTGCCCTGAGGATCATGGGTTGCCCTCTCCCCTCTTTGGAAGAGCTTCGTAGCTCCCGCTGCCTTAAGAAAGTTCAAAACATCCTCAAAGATCCCTCTCATCCTGGGAACCCACTTTTTTTTTAACTATTACCGTCTGGCAGACGGTACAGGATAATAATAAAAACAAGGACAAACAGGCTGAAAAATACCTTCTATCCCAGGGCAAGTAGCTCTGTTGAATTCTACTGTATAGTGCAATATGAATGCAATACCAGGGGTTTTCAATTCAATGTACAGAATGCAAAGGATGTGTGTTTGTGTTTATTTTCATTGTCATACTGTACACTGAAGATGGCATTTAATTTCATTGTACAAGGTGCAATGACAATAAAGTAAAGTAGATCCAGGTTGGGGAGGATGGTTGAGAGAAGGGGAAGGAACTGACAAACAGTGTGCCATGTTGAAAAAAGTACAATCTGGTCATCTGCTGTTCTCCTTGGCCTCAGGATCTTCTCCTACGCCCTATGACTTTCCCACTCCGGCTTCTTCGAATCGCAGCTCGGCCACCGACGATTTTTGCTATGTCTTCGTGGTGGAGCTGGAAAAGGGCCCCATCGGTTTGGGGATGGGGTTGATCGATGGCTTGGTGAGTAGGTCCTCTGGGGGATGTGGTACGAAGCCTCTTTCAGAAGAAAGACCGCGAGGAGTAGCTTCCAAGAGTCATGGTTGATAGGCTCACAGCGTTTCTCTCTGTTGGCCTTGGTCTAGTGTTGTTATCTAGTTCAACATCTGCTTGTTAGATTGTCTTTCTGTTGAGCTACAGCTCTGCAGATGTGCAGGACTAGAATTCTTCCAACTACCACGGCCGGTGGGAATTGTAATCTATCACCCGTGGAGACTGCTGGATTGAGGAATCCAAAGGTGCTTTTTTGTTTTTTCCCCCAAGGGGGCAACTAGACTTCCTTGTTATTCTTTGAAGACTCAAAGGTGCTTTTTCAGGAGACAACTGGACTTTGGGACAACTATGACCTGGATCTCCATAGATATTCTTTGAAGACGCTTCGCTTCTCATCCGAGAAGCTTCTTCAGCTCTGACTGGGTGATGAGAAATGGAAGGATTTATATTCCTTCCAGACAGCTGGTCATTTGCATCCTTTTAGAGAGCCGTTGAGGCCGCTTGGAGGCTTATCAAGGTCACCTGAGTAGTGCCAATGGGTGTGGAGCCTTCTAACAAGAAAGAAACATAAACAAGAAAGTCCAGTTGCCTCTTGAAAAAGCAGCTTTGGGACAACCTTGGATGACAGAGTATCCATCGACATCTGGATTGAGGAAAAACTCCAAAAACATCTGTTTTAGGAAGAAAGGATAGAAATAAGATAGAGCATGGAGGATCTGGAACTTCTCAGCTAAGACCCTCCTGAGGTTCTTCTCTGTCTCTTAGCTACTCTGCTTGGGGTTCACCTAGGATATCGGAACTCACCTGTGTTCTTTTGCTCTTCACTGTCTTGTAGCACACCCCTTTAAGTTCTCCCGGGATCTACATCCGGACTTTGATCCAAGACAGTCCAGCGGCAGCAGATGGCAGACTCTCCATCGGGGACCGCATCCTTGCTGTCAACGGCACCAGCCTTGTTGGCTCTCATTACCAGAGGTAAGGACAAAGTCAGGCCGATGGGTTTTGCAGTACAAAGCCATTGCCCACCTGGGACAATGACCATCTCTGAGGTGGCTTTTGACAGAGAATTCTGGGAATTGTAGTTCAGGTGCCTTTGGAGGCCATCCAATTTGGGAGCACACTATCCCAGGTCCTTCCTTGCTACAGGACGTTGGTTTGAACTTCCTTTCTCTCCAGTAGGAATAATGAAAGTCTTGCAAATCTTGAGGGCAGTTTCTTATTTCCTGGGCTACATGTGAAGAAAATAACCAAAATCTGTACATGGAAGATGTACAGCGTAATTCAATTTTCATAATTCATCTTACAGACATAGATCTTCCTATTTCAGATAGATCTCCAATCTCTTCTTTAAAAAGGTTGGAGCATGCTGAATGTTGAAATACTAGTGGGAGAAGTTGCTCATGCTTCTTTTATTCCTTTCAGCTGGTTTTTTTTCTTTTTCTTTCTTTCTTTTTTAATAAATTTTATTAAATATAAACATTAAAAAACAGTGAACTTGGTCTCTCTCTTTTGGCATACATTTCTGTCTAATCTTTTTACAGTTAGTAATCAAGAAAAGAAGTTAATACATTTATATACATATATACATTTTTGTGTATCATTTTTTAAAATTCTTTTATTCCTTTTTATCACTTCTCTACTTATTCTAAGTCTGTGAACACCCTTTCATGCTCCTTCGTTTATAAAATTTGTTCCATCTTTTATAATATTCTAGTTCGTCTCGCTCTTTCAATTCAAGTGTTAGCCTGTCCATTTTGGCGCGAATGTAATATTTTCCCAATCAAGGCGTCTTCACTTGGAATCTATCTTGCTTTCCAGTTTGGGGAGAGAATGTTATTCTTGCTGCAGTAATTATATGTATAATTCTTTCCTTCTTTCAGTGCTGTTGACCTCATCCGATCCGGCGGGAAGAAGCTGCGCTTCCTGGTGGCCAAGTCTGACCTGGAAGTTGCCAAGAAGATCAGCTATAGCTCTTCACCTTCTCCGTAACAGCAGGTCTTCTGTAATTCACCTACCGTTGAAGGAGTTCCGAGGGTAGCAGAGTAAGCTTGGTGGGACCCATCAGCAGATGACACACCTGGGAAGTCCAGAACTCTGGCTCGAGTTGCGACTGGTCAATCTGTGTGTACGCGTGGGAAGAGGGACAACAGTGCCATCGCACTCTTGAGATCCAGAGGTTTTTCCACCAGGATTGACCAGAAAGCATTTGTCAAGAGGACATATAAAGTTGACCTTCTAGCAATTCACAAGTACTGGGATTCAGAACCAGCTAAGCCCGTCTCTGCTTTGCTTTACAGTAGAGAATGCCATCTGGGTCACACAATCCTTTTTTAATACGAAGCTTGCAATGGTCCCAAGCTGGTTATTTGGGACTTCTTAGCTCCTGCTAAGGACTTCACGATCTTCAAGACATTGCACATAATCTTGCTTTGCCCTCTGGGCCAACCGGTATTTGTTGCAATGACGGCTCAAGTGAACGGACTTTAAGGGTAGAATATTGAGGGGGTGGATTTCTATCATGGTTGACCCGGTGGGGCCCTGAAGCTTTCAACGCTTTTTTGCCCTAATGATCTTTCTGTTCAGCTCAGGATGGTCTGTGTCACCCCAGCTGCCTGCTCTGGGGTGTGGAAATCAATTTAAGGACATTTGAACGAGGTTTTGGGAAATAATAATTGCATGCCAGGAACCAAAGATGGGATGCTTTATAAAAACTCTCCCTTCCTCCGGTTAAGTATGAAGGGAACGTTGCTGTGCACGTTAAGGAAAAGTGGGCTATTTAAACAAAAATAGAACTGGCGGTTCTCTCATGCAAATATGGCTAATTTGCATACTGGATTTCTGTCTTTGGATCATCTGTGTGATAAACCGAAGGCAATAACAGGTTGTAGCTCTCAAAAGTTAACGTGGTGGGAACTCTGGGTTGTGATTAGGGGATCCGAGGAAGACCCTTTCTTGCTGGTATTTCTTAGCTTCGCCTATCTCACAGGGTTTTTCAGTAAGGTTATCATATCTGAGAATGTACCTTATGATGTGCATTGCAACCCAGAGTTACCTGAGATGGATAGAAGAAAAAAAGAAGGAAAGGAAGGAGAAAGAAAGAAAGAAAGATAGAGGAAGGAAGGAAGGAAGGAAGGAAGGAAGGAAGGAAGGAAGGAAGGAAGGAAGGAAGGAGAGAGAAAGAAAGACAGCAACAGCAAGAGCACTAAGACTTATATATCATTTCACGGTGCTTTACAGCCCGAAGCAGTTTACAGAGTCAGCCTCTTGCCCCCAACAATCTGGGTCCTCATTTTACCGACCTCAGAAGGACGGAAGGCTGAGTCAATCATCAGCCAGTGAGGATTGAACTGCTGGCAGTCAAGCAGAATTAGCCTGCAATACTACCATCCAACCACCGCGCCACCACGGCTCTACATAGACAAGAAATTTGGGCTGCAATAATTGAGACCACCACTAGACAGCAGCAGATATACATTAAGAGAGTAAATCTTGCCTGCCCTCTAATGGCTGTCCTGAGACACAATCTGTAGAGAACCAGGACGGCCGCCTTCTCTCAATGTCTTGCTTTGATGAGGTCATTCCCTTTGGGGACTTCTCGGAGAGAATTCATTTTGTGAGTTTTGCCGGCGTCTGAAAGACCAGCGGCCAACGCCTAGGCAGGTGATGACTAGACTCAAACTCGAAATATTTTCCTCTTAGGAACCTCAAATGGTTGGAATTGCTGAGGACCAACAACAGCCAAGAGCATTGCTCAGTTCTTCCAACCGTCTACGGGATGCCAAGACCAACAATCGGCCCGCTGCCGCTCTGGTGAGGCCGTGCTGCTCCCTGCTGGCCCGCCGGCTCCCTTCGCAATCCATTTTCCAAGCCAAACAAAAGGCAGGCAGGATTTGTGGCCGGGAGCAACGCTGCAGAAAAATAATTCCTGAAATAAAGTGGATTTTAATTGCCTAGCTCCCCGCTATCTTCCGGGCTGTTTGCCAAGGACTGCAGTAGAAAAGTAGGAAATTAAGGGTCTGTGGCATTGAAAAGGTCAGCGTTGGTGCTTGTTCCCAGGTGCTTGTTTTAAGGTGCCGAAATTTTCAAGATCAGGGGATCGATGCTACCTGGGGCCTGGTAATCCATCTCAAGCAGCTGGGGAGGATAGGTTGGGGAACACTGGAAGAATATAACCTTCACGTGATCCGATAGGCAGGAAGTGGAGGAAACCAGAGCACACCTAGAGTACTGCATCCAGTTTTGGTCACCACATTATTAAAAAGACGTTGAGACTCTAAAAAGCTCTGCACCTTGAGGGTGGGTGGGTGGAAATGTATATAATTCTAATATTGCAGAGGGATTGTAGTGGGTGGATTCAAGCTGCTCCCTTCTCTGCCGAAAAACGAGATGAAGTAAAATAAGAACAAAAAGAATCCTTGTGTTGGAAGTCTCTGCTTCAAAACTTGTGTAAGTGGGAGGGAAGGAGGAGGAGAAGGAGACAAGGAATAACCTCTTGGGACTACAGGTAATCCTCGGGTTACGGCTATAATTGAGTTCAAGATTTCTGTTATTGAACCAGACAGTTGTTGTGTGAGTTTTGCCCTGTTTTACGACTTCTTGCCGCCGTTGTTAAGTTTGTATCAGAACACTAACTGCAACCTTCATTCTACTTCAGAGAAATGACTGTCTAGGCCCGTGATGGCAAACCTATGGCACACGTGCCGCAGGTAGCATGCAGAACCATTTGTGCAGGCAAACATACCTCATTGCGTTTGCGTGCACCTCACAGCTGATTTTCAGCCGGTTTGAGGCCTTTTTTGGCTTCCCAGAGGCTCAAAGAAGGCTTCCCAGAGGCTCAAAGAAGGCTTCTGTAGGCTTTGCAGGCCGAAAACTAGCCCCGTTTTGTCACTTCCTGTTTTTCTGAAAATACCGGAAGTGATGAAACGGGGCTAGTTGTCGGCCTGCAAAGCCTGCTGAAGCCTTCCTCAAGCTTTTGGGAGGCCGGAAACGGCCTCAAATTGGCCGAAAATCAGCTGTGAGGCACAGTGCAGGTGTGGAGGTGGGCGGGTGGGGATTACGCTCGCATGCGTAGGGGGCATGGCGGGTGCGCATTGCCTTCTGGGTGCTGGCACATGAGTGCAAGCGCGCGCACAATTTTTGGCACAGGATCCCCAAAAGGTTAGCCACCACTGGTCTAAGCTCTTCTTAAAAACATCCAGCGATGGAGCGCCCACGAAGAAGCCACAGTTCCTTCCCAAGATCCATGAAGGACACTTCAGTTTGCTGAACCCAACTAGAACTAGAGGAGGACACGTAGACCATGAATGGTTTTAATAAACCAAGATGTGAGATGTTCTGATGGAGACAGCGTTTGTCGTCGACGGTAAAGACACCCCGGTGTGCTAGGAAACGGTGAAGCAGGCTCCAGGAGTCCTTAGAAACTGAGAAGGCACCAAGGCACCAGTTCTAACCCATCACCAGGAAGCAACCTCAGGTTGGTCTTGAGGGCTTCCTCACCCAGGAATGGAGCCAGTTCCTCCTTCCAAAAGCTGGCTGGTCATCTTCATGGCCAGCAGCAAAGGGATGTGGGTCTCCCGGTGGCTTAAGTCCTCAGAGGGCGGTCTTAGCACGAACTGAGCTACGCTGGGCATTTTCAGTAAGTTCATCAGCTCCGTCGCCCGGGTGAGGATGGCCTCAGTTTCTTCAGCACAGTAGACCGAGGAAACAGACGGGCTCTGGATGAATATCTTCATCTTCGAAAGAACCAGGCAAACTCTGCAGCACAGAAGCCAAAATAAAGGAATAAATAAAATCAGTTGGAAGCAGCAGCAGCGGTTGCTGAACTGAACCAAAACAGGTTATTCTCGACTTATAATTCATTGAATGACCGTCTGAAGTTACGACGGCAGTAGAAAAAGTGGCTTAGGACGGTTTTTTGCAGTTACAACCCTTATAGCATCCCCGTGGTCACACGATCAAAATTCAGACACTTGCCAGCTGACTCATACTTATGACAGTTGCGGTGTCCCGGGGTCATGGGAGAAGGAGGAGGAAGAGGGCTGAGGGGTCCTTGGTGCTCTCTGAGCTTGGTGATTTTCTTGCAGACGTTTCATGACCCAACTAGGGAACCTCATCAGTGTGAGTGTGGGGTTTGCTCCGTGTTTAGATACAATACTTTGTCCTGCCAGTTATTGGTGGGCCATGGGGTGGTGGTGGGTGGGACCAAAAAGACCAGAACACACCCCCTCCAACTGCCAATGACTAGATAAGCAGGGATGAACACCAGACAAACAATCCAGCGGAAAACAATGCCTGTGTCAAGGAACGACCCAAGAGAAAACCATACTCCGCCAATACTAACAGGGCGAGCTGTTGCACGCAAATAGAGAACAAACCCCCACACTCCCTAGCGCTGAAGAAACAACCAAGTTCAGAGAGAGCACCAACAAGGTGCCCGCAGATCCAGAGAAGTCTTCCTGGAAACCGATAAGGGAGGGAGATTTTATCAGGGAACCGTTCAAACCTGGGGATCAGGTCCTGGCTGCGAGATGCTAGCTTGCTCAAGGCGGTCATGAGGACAGCGATCACACGAGGCGAATACTTGGGGATGTTAGCTGAAGGCCGCAGCTGGGTGATCTCAAAAAGCATGGCTTCCAGAACGTCGAAGAAGGTGTTGATCTGCTCCACCGTGCAACGTTTATCGTGCGTCACTGATGCATATTCCCCAATGGCCCAGACCTAGAAGACAGGAACAGACGTGAGATGGAATTCAGCCGGTTCGGACCAGTTCTGGAGAACCGGTAGCGGAAATTTTGAGTCGTTCGGAGAACCGGACAATCCCGCCTCCGACTGGCCCCGCCGACCCCATCTCTTCTCAGCCTCCCATGGAGTCCCAGCTGATCGGCTGGGTCTCCTTTGGTTGCCCTGCCCAGGAGAACAGAGCTGGAAAGCAGGTTAGGGGGAGGAGGGAATGGGGATTTTGCAGGATCCTTTCCCCTGCCACGTCCACCAAGACACACCCATCGAATGGGTAGTAAAAAAAATTCGTGAACCCCACCACGGCAGGTATCTGCTTACCACGTGAATGAAGAGGTCCTCCTTGGTCTGAATGTTGGACACGGTCCCCGAAAACTCCAGAAGGGGCTTGGACAGCTCCACCACCAAGGAGGGGTGCTGCTTGCACAACGCTTGTAGCTGGGAACTCATCACTCTGCCGGGTGAAGGGGAGACTCTGAGAAAAGGAGGAGGCTCTCCAAAGACAGGCAGGGTGCGGGTCCTGGACAATCCCAAGCCAAGGTTTAAGCAGAGGACCGGAGTCAAATCCAGTTTCTGAAGAGGTCTGCGGTAGAAGTCACTCTTGGGCTCAAGCGCCTGTCTCTCTGCTTTGATTTACAAAACCCGTCTGCTCACCTGAACACCTCGGCCTTGAACCCGGGGATCTCGTAAAGCAGATCACTTCTTTCCAGGGATGCCAAGGTCAGCTTCTTGGCAAGAGTTTCGTCTGCAAACTGGAAGAGAATTCAGGAGAAGCAGCCTGTTATTATTATTATTATTATTATTGCCTCGGTCATGATTGCAACACATTTTAGCAGAGGGCTAGAAGTAACTCCAGGTTCTGAAGATGTCTGCTTCCTCTTTCCTTTTTTTTTTTTTTGAGCTCGTAAAATAAAAAAAGGGCTAGAAACATAACTTTGGGGAGGGGCATTCCTCCTGCCTTTTGTGCATGTTGTGGTCCGCCGGCAGCCTTGCGGAGACGGCAGCAGAGTCAGACAGTGGGGAGGACTATGGGCCAGTCCGGGGAGGACTCGGACCAGGGTCCTGCGTCTGACACAGAAATGGGGCCAGGGCCATCTGGGAGTTATGTGCCGACTCCGGAGCCTCCAGAATCTGACAGCAGCGAGGCAGAGGAACAGCGGGAGCCTGTTCCTAGTGTGTGTGTGCGCACAGAGCTGCCAGAAGCAAGAACAATTAAGGCAAAAGGAGTGACTCGGGAGTAAGGCTTGGAGGTTATTGGTCCACCCATAAGACATAAAGGAGGTGTAAAGGGACAGGAACCTTTGCAGAAAGCAACTTTGTTTGCTCTGTTCGGATTAAACCTTGAAGCTGTGTGTGGACTTCGGTTG